TGGCATATTATAACTACCAGAGATGTGCATTATTTGAAATAGATGCATTTTAAATGGAAATACAAAATGTAAAATGCCTATTTTGTATTTTGCATTTAAAATACTTTGTATTTTGTATTTTGCATTTAAAATACATTTTTTCAGAAACTACTTTACATTTCCATTTAAATAATTTTTATTTTATTTTATTTTTTTTTAATTATTTATTTTTTTTATTATTTTAATAATTTTTATTTTATTTTATTTTTTTTTTTAATTATTTTTATTTTATCTACCTATTTTCTATTTTTCAAATTTATTTTTCTTGCAAACTAAAAATTAATCGCGATATCAATAACACTGTTTAACAACAACAAAAAATGCACAAGAACGAGAATAATCATTTGCCATAGTTTTTTGGACGCTGAATACGATCCCGCTTATTAAACTGTTTTGTCACTTCACAATTTTGAGAAATTTGCAGTTAAAATTGCAAAATGGATTATTTTAGTGTATTTTGGCATATTATTATAACTATGATATGAGACGTGCAGAAGTCTATTAAAATCAAAATTAAGTATGTTGTTAAGACTTTTAGCCCTTAAAAAGAATTTGTTGTGTCGATTATGATTAAAAAGATATTGATGATTAACGATAGAGTCTATTTCGTCAGAGTTGCGATCATTGGGATCTATAAAATATTTTTTAATTATGTTATTTAAACTCTTAAGAGTTTTTAAGTTGCTAAATACTAATCTGATGTCAAAATTGATAAATCCAATATGGCAGATATAAAAATTTAAAAGGTCGAATTTTTTTTAGCAAAAATAGAGCAATTTGATAAACTGGATCATATTTAACGTCCAAGATTTTTTTTATTTTATTTTATATATTATTATAAGAAACGTTATTCTCGTTCTTGTGCTCGAAAAAAAGTAATTTTTTGTTAAACAGGGTAGTTATAGAATTTTTATATACACTTAATTACCTAGTTTAGTAGATGGAGAAACATTATAATCATCGAATTTGAGTTTGATTTTATAATCGGGAATGTTGCGTTATTTACGTAACACGTATAAAAATTTTCGTTACATAAAACGGAAATGCGTTATATACAATTTTCCTGCAGAAGCAGGAGTATATAATTACGGAACAGAAAAGATCGAACGTTGCTTCCATTGTATTCGTTTTCACCCTTTTTGGTGCTTTTATTATGCAATTATGACATTAAGGAAGTAAAGCCTAGAAAATTACGAGACAGACAGACATTTCATTTGCAGTGCATTCCTGTGTGAAACAGATAAGCGTGTTACGATAATATTAAATGCGTTATCATCAATCGTATGGGAAAGATCTCACGGAAACAATTCAACGCGGCTGTCTTACCCTCCTTTACGCGATAAATTAGTTACTGAACGCGCGTTATTTGTTCATCCCTTGAATTATACAATTAACCTGCGCTAATTTCTTAATTCTTCTACAATTTTGGTGTTATTTGTATACATCATGTGCAGTTTTCAATTAGATATACTAGTTTTTTTAAGTTAGAATGCAAGACAAGAGTTCAATTCTTAGGAGCGTCTTGTATTCAAAATCCAACTACACTGCTACCGTTATAACAATTTCTCATTCTCTTTTTTTATAGATCTTTATTTTTTTGTGTGTCATTTCTGGATGTTGACTTTAAGGCACGGAAAATTCCGTATCTTCAGGTACGGAATTTTGCAAGCCATCGACAGCAACGTGCGAACGTTCACCTTCGCCAACTGTTTCTATATCTATATATATAAGTACCGTCCGTCTGTCTGTCTGTCTGTATGTACGCGAACTACTCATTCGTTAGTGGACCGAATTTTTACCAAAAGTATATGAAACAGGGGTAGAATTTTCCGGGGATGAAAATGTCGTGGCCATTTTTTTGCTACCGATTTTCTGGAAACCGATTTTTCTAATTCTTCTAATTTTTCGGGAAATAATTGACTAAATTTAAAAGAATTATATATGAAACAGGGGTAGAATTTCCCGGGGAGTGCCATAAAGTGTATAATTTTTCGTTACCAATCTTTTTGAAAGCCGGTTACAAAATTATTTTAATTTTTCGGAAATTAATTGACCAAATCTTAAAAAATTATATGAAGTAGGAGTAGAATTTCCCGGGGATTGCCATAAAGTGTATAATTTTTCGTTACCGATTTTTGGGGAAATTGGTATCAGAAAATTTTCCAATTTTTCGGAAATTAATTGACCGAATCTCAAACAATTGTATATGAAATAGAGGTAGAATTTTCTGGGGAGTGATATAAAGTGTATTATTTTTTGTTACCGATCTTTTTGGAAACCGGTTACAAAATTTTTCTAATTTCTCGGAAAATAATTGAATCTTAAAGAATTACATATGAAATAAAGGTAGAATTTCCCCGGGATTGCTATAAAATGTATAATTTTTCGTTACCGATTTTTTTGGAAACCGGTTACAAATTTTTTGAAATTTTTCGAGAATTAATTGACCAAATCTTAAAGAATTATATATGAAATAGCAGTCGTGTCAAAATTTTTTTAATTGTTGGAGGATAAGTTATTTTTTATTAATGGATAATTTTTCATTAATGAATTGATTTTCTTGAAACCGGTTACGAAGTTTTTCCAATTTTTCTAAAAAGGTTTTCGATTTTTGTTTAAAAAAATGTGGGTATACGTGATTGTTCTAATTTCCTCAAATTTTGAGATATTAGCTAAATTTTTTTAAAGATAATTTTTCGTTACTTTTTTAAAAACAATGCCCAAATTTTTCTAATTTTTCGGGGATGGCGAAGATGTGTATAATTTTTCATAGTCAATTTTTTGAAAACCGGTTTCAAAATTTTCTAATTTGTTTAGGATGGCTACGATGAGTTTATAGAAAAATTGCTAATAATAAAAAGGTTTCCGATTTCTGCTCCAATTTCCGTAAATTTTGAGATATCAAGCTAAATTCTTTTTATGGATAATTTTTATAGATAATTTTTCGTTACCGATTTTTGTGAAAACCGGTTCACCTTCGCCAACTGTTTCTATATAATTCTATAACGTTCAATAAATGTTTTATTTTTTTTGCTGCATATCTATTACATTATAGCCAAGTTGAGACTCGCGACTGAGAGCAGTCAACAAGAATTAAACGGCCATTAAAGTCGCTTGAACAAGTGTCTGCCTGATCTTCTAAACGAAATCGATTTTGCTCCTTTCGGCTCGGCAACAAAACTAAATCGCGAGTAAAATCGAGACAAGTGGCCGACCGTGGTAGCCACTTCCGTCTATTCCTTGATTGGCTTTCCTATCGAGAGGCGATCTCAGACTGCCGATCGATTTCGATGCGGCGAATCGCCGACGATGCGCTCGATGCCGTCCGTCGATGTCAATGAACCTTTTTACCTTCGATCGAAAGGCGCAAGGTGCTATCGAGGTGCACGAGAAGGAGAGGAGAGGTGAGCAGAGGCCGAGGAAGCTGGTGAGGTGAACAGAGCGCAATCGTAATTTCATACCCGTCACGTTCGCGATTGGTCAAACGAGGCTCGATACCGGCCTCGAGAATGTCAACCGCTCGAGTACCGTTCGTCTACCGGCGCGGCGGATCGACCATGGAACTCGACTGTTGGACCTTTTTTACAACGGCCATGGATCGTCGCGCTGGCTGATCCACCCTTTCGCGAGAAGGAGAACGCTGAGATCACCTGACTAGTCGAGGGCAGGGTCACGGATACAGCCTCTCGATGGTCTTGAAAGTTCCCGCTCGCTCGGCCCAACGCGACATACGTGTTAAAGAATTTTTCCTCAGCCGGAGAACGGTGTTTCCTCTATTTTCTAATTGTTTACACAAATATTCTACTTCAATTTTTAACCGTCATGGTAACATAGTGACTTTTTTTTATTAAAATATTTTCTTACAGTTTTTTTTTACACATAACTTCCTTGAATTTATAAAAGAATAAAATTTACCGTAAAATTTCCTTGTTGTATAAAAATGTACAAACCTCAGAAGAATTATGTGTGAGAAAGAACATTCACATTATGCGAAATTAATTTGTTGAGGAAATGAGACTATTTACGGTACGACAGGGCAATCAGAATTACAGTAAATTTTCGCTACCCCGCGTACACAAAGGGCTATTCGCTGCGTATCTTCAGCATCGTGCGAATTTAACAGTTCCTTCCGGAATGAGGAACCTTTCTCGTTTAATAGGGCCGAGAGGTGCGAATCGACGATAGATACCGTAAAGTACCTTTTCAGTGTACCGTTTGAATGCGAAATTATTTCATCTGTGTCTCGATCAAAGAAGTGCACGAGATCTTTCTCACGCGAGCATGGCAGGGCTAATTACGCCCTAACGACGATATAATTATACAATTTTTTTACGCGGCGAAATGAGGAAGTGACCATTGCAATTTAGCATGGTTTCTTTTTTCTTTTCATCCGCTGCAACAATCATTCCCGAGCGGCCCTCTTGCCCAGCCTCTTTATTTCTTACCCGCCGACACGACGCAACGATCTGAAGATATGCAATTTGGCCTTTTGTGAACAGCCGCGTTGATGCAATATGCACGAAAAAGGTTCATCAACCTTATACGCAAGATATTATATACCGCGAGTACCTCGAGCATGGCGAATATTCCTTATATGACCGTAGGTCTAATAGTCTTCACTTCAGTGGTTTACCGTTTTAATATTCGCGTAAAGTACGAGCGTGCATTATATTTAGGTTTATCGCCCTCGCGTATGAGATCTGCAATATAATCGAGCATAAAGCGTGATTTCCTGTAGCGTCCTATTATCGAGATCTCGATGGTGGAAAATTCTAGCTTGAAACTCGAACTAACAATTAAAAGCGCGCTACGTTACATATGTTAATTATAATATGTAACATTAATAGAATATTTTATGATAAACTATTCTTTCTTTCATATTGTGGAAAACGTCGAATATTGTTGGAAACGTTTTGATGGAATGTGCGAAAAAGGTGACACTGGCTTTCGTTCATTTGCAGGGGTGTCGGCCATACAGAACGATAAAACGTCCTCTCGAGTGTCCCGGGATAATATCGTGTTGAGCGCGAACGCTTACACCGGTCCCGAAAAAACATCCAGCGGGAGTCAGCCGGACGAGTCCCGGACTTTCCAACGGACCGTTCCAGCGTTTCAGCTGGAAAGCTCGAAAAACGTCAACGATTACGACAGGGAGGAGACCAGGCTCGTATTCAAAGATACGAGTCGCGACGAGTCTATCGACGAACTAACGTCATCGAAGCACGTGGCCCATATCGACGGTAATAACATCGAGGCGAAAGCCGGCGAGTACTATCAGTAAGTTTCATTTCCGTTTCTATGAATACTAATATAAGGGCGAATTGCACGCAAAGGGTTATATAAACGTAAATGGGTTCTCCGTATTGACAATAGTGTAACTATACGTCCTGCTCCAAGAGATGTCGACATTTATTAAAGTTTCAATTAACTCTGTGTTTTTGCTCTAAATGCGATCCAAATTAAATTAAAGTACTGAATATGTTATATTAACAATTAAGGCACGCGTGAATTTCGTTTAGTTAGCGTTAATTTTGATTAAAAGCTCCAGTTTCGAAGTACGAAGGCGAATCTTCTAAAATCTAAAATAATCCGTTGTCACAAGCAGCATAGTGCCCACCACCAGCGAGTCGATGTCGGGGGAAGGACAAGGGGCTCCGCTGAGAGTAGATCTCCTGTCGGAGCCCCATCAGCTGGTTGGCGCGCCGAGGCAACAAGCACAGCATTCGCCAGTAACGGATCAGCAGCGGCGAGGTCGTCAAGAGATCCCGAGGATCTATAGCGAGCACGCGCCGCCGCCGCCTATTCTGCAAACCGCCGCGCCAGGTCATAGACAGGCGAACCCCGATATACAGGACATCATTACCGGAATCGTCAAGCTGCTCAATGGCAACGTGAACGTAGCCGCGAACACGGTGAGGCCGTTGAGGCCGATACAAGCCACGAGGTAAGCTAAATATCAATTTTTCTAACAGATATTGTATTTTACATTACAAAATATGACGATGCAATCAGGTTCTTTTAGCATCAGAATCATTACGATAATTTTTGAAAATTTTATGTCATCTACATATTTCCGCGTATATTTATAATATAAAAAAAATACTGAGAAACACTGACAGAGAAAAGTGCCTTTATATAAAAAAATTTGTATCGTATTAATTATACATTATCTGAAAGAAGGCATACAAGTATGTCTCATTATTGGCAATGACATCGAATTTGCAGGATCAACAACAGAGGACCACCCAGAATATCGGATGTGCCACCGTTGCTGACGGACTTTGACACTCCTGGCATGAATCCACCACCGCCGCCGCCGTCGTCTCATCCTTATCCGTTTGAGAAGCCCCCTGCACCTGACAGACCGCTGTTGCCACCGGAGAGACCCATTAGGCCCTTCATCAGCGGAGTGCCATTACCGGAGCAAGTTGTGCCGCCTTGGAGTTGGGATTCTTCTCACAGTACGTTCTTCATCCGTAAATAATTGTGCACCTAATTAATCATTTATTTTGCATGGCTGCTTTAACACAACGGGACGTGAATATATAAAACAAAGTAATTTTCCGGGTAATTTTAGTAAAATGAGAATTATTTTATCATGAT